TATGAGGTTTTTTGTGGAGTGATGAAATGTTCTAAACTTAGATTGTAGTGATGGTTGCACTATTCTGTAAATACACTAAAGATCATTGAACTGTACACTTTAAGTAGATGTATTTTATGGTGTGTTAATTATACCTTAATAAAGATGTTTTTTAAAAAGATAGTAAACAAATTATTTCACAGAGTACAAAAAGGGGAAAAGTCTATAGATATAGTATGATCATCTTAGTTAATTTGTACTTTCTTGTGTCCTCATTTTTTACTCCCTTTTTAACCCAATAGTTATTCAGAGATATTCTAATGCTAAAAAAAAATTGATTTTAATTTACTAGTTGAGAATGTTTCTTGGATTATTTATGATATAGAGATATGGGAAATGTGTTTTGGGCTAGGATGCGATCATTGTTTTTTTTTTGTTCTCTGGATGCTTAAAATGAAAGCACATTCTCTGCACAGTACAAACGTTAAATAAATGTATTAAATAACTGTATGATATTATTTAAATCTCATTTTTAAAATCTTTTTTTATATGACCTGGAAAAGACTGAGAAAGATACAGACCTTATATACAACCTAATTGGATTCTGTTTAAATTCTTATTAACGCATTCCCAACTTTCATGTCATCTAATATTTTAGTTTTATCTTGTTTGTTTTTAACTCACATATTAGACATGATTTATTTTGCCTAATATAGTCTATTTTTGCTCTGGTTTACTTACACTTTTACTCATTTCTTTGCTCAATTATTTCTTTTAGAATCTGTCTTTTTTCCTGTATTGTTTCCTTTCCATTGAAGTATCACTTTGGTGTTTCCTTGATTGTAGACCAATTAATGGTAATTTTTCAGCATTTATTAATCTAAATATATGTATTTCACCCTCATTCTTGAAAGAGAGCCTAGTTAGATATAGAAATTAAGTTGATAGTTATTTTGCCTCAGAGTTTTGAATCATCTACACTCCATTATTCCTCTTGAGAATTCTGTCATCAACCTGATTTTTGTTCATTTGTAAGTAATCTGTCTTTTCCCTCTAGTTGCCACTAAAATATTTTCTTTATTCTTGGTGTTCTGCAGTTTCACTTTGGTGGGCCTACATGCGCATTCCTTTTATTTATTTGGTTTAGGACACATTATGTTCCCTGAATCTTCATCAATTTGGGGACACCTTTGCCACCATGACCATTTGCTTGGATGATTGTGCACTGGGGAAAAAAGAATTTCAGACTGTTAGACTATTGGTACCAGGGTTCGAGTTGACATTGATATCTGGAGATCCGAAGCATCAGCAGGATACCATTGTTAGAATGGGGGCATGTGAGGGATGGTAGTGAAGGGAATCCTGTCAGAAGTCTGGTTTACACTGAGTCCACTGGGTCCACTGATACACTCAGTGCTCACTTCTAAAGTTCCTGAATGTATAATTGTGATTAACACACTTGAAAGTTGGATTAACCCTTACATTAGATTTAAGCCACCTTGGCCTGTGGGGTAAAATCTAACAGCGAGAGTAGCCAAATAGGAGCCTCTGACACTACATCCCTACCCCAGCCAAAACAGTAGATAACAAACAATCACACCTCAGAAGATGGCAGGTGTTAATGCTATCATATCCCCTACAGAAACTGGATGGACCGTGGAGAATATTTTAGACCATAGCAAGCTGAAGTAAGTGGTACACCCGATCACAGTTGCCATGTGAGACATGGTATTTTTATTACAGCAGAATATTATGACTTCAGATACATGGTCTTATGGGCTGAATTTTGTCCCCCCAAAATTCATACGTTGAACCTTTAGTATCCCAGAATGTGATTATATTTGAGATAGGGCTTTTAAAGAGGTAATTAAGGTAAAATGAAAGCATATGAATGGGCCCTAATCCAAATGACTAGTGTCTTCATAAGAAAAGGTTAGGACACAGACGTGCATACATAGAGGAAAGACCACGTGAGGACACAGTGAGTGGTGGCCATCTGGAAACCAAGGAGACAGGGCTCAGAAGAAACTAAACTTGCTGGCACCTTGGTCTTGGACTTCTAGCCTTGAGAAAATAGTGAGAAAATAAATTTCTGTTGCTTAAGTCACCCAGGCAGTGGTATTTGTTACAGCAGTCCTAGAAAACTAATATACATAGTATGTGGCCGCTAAGTCAATGGTGACTATGTTCTCCTATCTCAATTAAAAAAGGATCATAAACAGTTTGCATCCAAATAGTTTGCATTCAAATGTAATGGACAACAATAACCATTCATAATTTTGCTCCAGGGCTATGTTAACTCTCCTGATCTTTGTTATAACATAGTCATAGATATTTGGCCATCTCACAGAATTTCACATTGATTCATTATATAAATAACATCATGTTGATTGGGAAGCATTACCAAGTGGTGGCTAGCATGCCAGAGGGTTTAGAATGACACATGCACTCCAGATAGAAGGAGATAAACCCTATGGAGATTCAGGGGCCTGTTCAGTAAAGTATTTAGAGGTACAGAGGTCAGATGTACGTCAGGACATCTCCTTCTAAATAAAAGACAAATTACTGTGTCTTGCATCCTCTATTGAAAAGAAGAAAGCCCAATGCCTAGTAGGTCTCTTTGAGTTCTGAACAGGACACATTACACACCTAGAAATAGTCCTCCAGCTCATAGGATGGGTGCCATGAAAGACTGCCAGTTTTGCCTGGGACCTTGAATACAAAAGGGCTCTGCAGCAGGTCTAGGGTATGTTGCAAGCAATCACATGCTTGGCCATGCAATCTGGAAGACTCTATGGTGTTAAAATTGTCAGTGGTGGAAAGAGATGCAGTAAAGAGTTTACCCCAAGCCACAGAGGGAGAATCATAATGCAGGCCCCGGAGTTGTAGAGCAAGTCCATTCTATTTGCAACAGAAAATTATACACCTTCTTAAAAACAGCTCTTAGTGTGCTATGGGTCTCTAGTATAAAAAACCCCTGACTGTGTAATTCTAAGTGACCACGCATCTGGAACTGCCAATATGAGCTCATTTCTGTCCAACCCACCAAGTCATTAAGTTGAGAAAACCCAGCAGTATCCATTATACGGTAGAAATAGTTCAATCAGGATAAAAAATGAGCAGTACTGGGGACATGAGTAAGATTCACGGGCAGGTAGCCCAGATCCCAATATTACCTATTATGATTGTCCCAGCACCCCTCCCTACTTCCCATTTATGGACATATGGAAGCATGACTCTGAAAGAGGAGGATAGTCTAGTTCAGTGTGAGTGATAGCTCAATATATGGTTGAAATCCAGTAGCGGCCTTGAAAGACAGTGGGAAAAGAAAAGACAGCTTTTCCTGGTAGGCAGAGCTATATATAGTATGCCAGGGCCTCCTCTTTGTATGTAAGGAGAAGTTGTCTGAAGTGAGAATACGTATAGACTCCAGGGAAGTAGCTAATGACCTGGCTAACTAGTCAGGGTCCTGAAAGGAAAACAAATAGATGATTAAAGACAAGAAGCTTTAGGAGACAGGGATGTGGATGATGGATTAACATATGAGAGGAGGCACAACTAGTGTTCATCATAAAGCATTCGCCACGTAAGGGGCGTTGAAAAATCAATCAGACAAAATAACAGTTGATATTAAAGCCTTTGTCATTGACCACTCCAGATCTGACACAGTAGGTCACAGTGGCAGAGATGCAAGGTATGCATGGGCCCAGTAGCATGGACTTATACTTACTGAGGCTAATATTGCAACGATGGACTTTGAATGTGCAAATTTTCAACAACAGATACCAATGCTGAGACTCTGATATGGTATTATTCCTCGAAGGGAATATTTTGTAGCAAGTTAATTATACTGGTCTCTTTCTGTGTTGGAAGGACCAGCAATCTATTCTGAGTATGTGATTGCCTTTCCTGCCCACAGAACTTCAGCCAGCACTAGTATTTTGGGGACTTACATAGTACCTGTTTCCACAGAAATGGAATGTGGTCTGAACATGGCACCCACTTCACAGCAAAAGAGACAAAGGAATGGGACCATGATGATCCATTTCATATCCCACCATCCAGAAATTTCCATTATGATAGAGCATTATAACAGACTACTGAAGATATCCCTGAAGTGACACTGAAGGTACACCTACGTACCACACCAGAAGTACACCTGAAGAGGATACTACCTTCCAGCATGTACACTGAACCAGAGACCTTTCTGGAATGCTATTTCTCTGATGGAAAGAATACGTCAGTCCAGGTATCAAAGTTTGGAAGAATAGGTGATACCACTTACTATCATCCTCAATGGCATACCATGGGACTTTGTACTTACTACCCATGCAAGATTAGGGGTCCTGGTCCCAAAGGCAACAAGTTTTCCAGGAGACAAAATAAAGATACCTTTAGAAATATAAGCTATGACTGCTACCTGAGCACTTAGGACTCTATTTATACAGAGACCAGCAGGCAAGAAGAGGTATCAGCATATTGGCAGAGGAATTGATCCTAACCAGAAGGACAAGGTAGGGTTTAGAGATAAACACATGCCCTTTTCTAATTTTCTCTATACATGGAACCAATGACATTTATCACTTCAGGGAGAGAGAAAAATATCAGCTAAAATATTTAAAAAGGACTGCTCAGCTGCATATCACAAATCTGGCATTCTAAGGGTTTTATGAGACAAAAGCCTCCATATTTATGCTTTGTTGTAGAAGAAAATAAACTGATAACTAATAAAAATCTTCCTTATGATATGGCAAACAAAATTTGGGACTTTGACTATATTTGCTTTCTTACAGTTTATAAAGCATAAAAAATATGACATAAGAGAGAATTCCTCACGATAGAAACAGCGCCCTCACAGAAGAAGGAAGAGTGAGAGAAAATGGCAGGACTGCAGGTTGTGAGTGTCTGGGCTCCCCCCCCCGTGACCAAAATATGGAGGAAAGTTGCAACAGGTGATAGAAACACCAAGATAGGTGTTGGTTTGGTCGATGTAACTCTTCCTTGCATGGGAGTATGCCAGGGCGCATCTCAGGAAATTTGCGCACTCTTTGGAGAGCCCCATGGTTAATTCACTTGTTATATTATTACTGTTATTGTTAATCCGTTGTATCAATGAGAAGAAAGCATTGTAAAAACCCAAAAGTAAATAAAAATGGCTAAGAAGCCATTTTTAAGAAGTAAGAAGATAACACGTGGGTCTGAGAAAGGACTCCTCGTTCTCTATAATTAGTAGAACAAGGGGGAGATCTGGGAGTTTCTAGATGCCCAGTACAAAAGAGCGGAGCCAACTGATGTGCCAGGGGAGGCCCGGGCTGGGGACAAAGAAGTCTCAGTGTGATGACCTTGAGACCAGAGACCAGGGCAAGTGAGAAAAATTTCAGGAATATTTCCCATTGCAACAACCTGAAATTAGCTGAATTCTCAGAGGCTGCAAGCACAGGTATGCAGATAAATGGATTAAGACCAATTGCCGCCGAGACCAGCAGAGAAATATAGGACAGCAGGTAGATCAAAGTTCCATCTCTTTGAGACCGGAACGCAATTAACCCTCCCCTATATCCAAACACCATTTTAGGAAGGACCAGGGAAGGATAGTCTGTCTGCTGAAGGGAAAGAAAGAGCCCGGACGAGGCGTGAGAGCTCTGGAGCAACTTAAAGATGCTCTTATAAACCCTAAGAAACTGAAATATGCTTAACTGTCAAGTTAGCAGAAAAGTAGCGTCCTGGGAATATAATGAAACCAGCTGTAGAAAAATTGTTTTGATTTGTTTCTGCATATAGTGCTAAGAAAAATTGAAATTATGTTTTATATGTAAATTTTATCTTTTCTTAATGTTATAAAAGTCTTTTTCCATTTCATTAAAACTATTTATTTGTCAACATCTATTTTAATAGTTGCCTTTCACACCTCTTGACAAAGCAGTTTCTTCTGCCTCTCTCTAGTCCGAATTTTCACATTAGAATCTTTAAACAATCTCCAGTTTTGTTGCCTTGTTTGAGAAGATCTAACTTTTCTTCCCCAAACAACTGACCAATTGTCCCATCTCTTTCTACTGAATAATTCATCCTTGTCTCACTAATTAATGTTTCTGCTTTATTATGTATTAAATTATACAATAGAATTTATTTTTAGTTAGACTAATTGTGCACACTTTCTGTACTGATTTAATGATTATAGTTTCAGAATATGTTTTCGTATCTGGGAGAGCTAATCTCACTCAACATTGTTCTAGCTGTTTTCCTTTTATTTCATGTAGATGAATTTTGAAATCATCCTGTTAAGATTTAAAAGGAAAATGTCACTGATGTTTTGACTAGGATGGGACTAGATATGTGCATTAATTGTTGTTCCTCATCTGGAATGTGGCATATCTCTGCGTTTATGTATTTTTTTGCATATGTTTGATCAATGTTTTTGTTAGTTTTATTTTTACATACAGGTAACACATGCTTCTTTTTAAGGTAATAGTTATATTCTTAAGGTAAATAGGTATATTTGTTTTCTAATGTGTTTGTCCTAGTCTTAGGAGCCATATTAATTTGTTATATATTTTTCATGTACATGGTTATTTACAGAACTCTTACTAGTTCCAACAATTTTATCAGTGGATTGTTACTGGCTTTTTAGCTGGCTCTTATGTTTTATTTCGGATCACTTCCTGGTTTACACTAGACTTGCCCTATTTCCTTTTTGTCCCTGGACACCTAGATCAATGCTTCTGCTTCTGCTTCTGCCTGCTTTAATGACATGGTGCATTTTTAGCTTGCCATCATAATGCTTTCTTCTGCACCGGCCCAAGAATGACAGTGTGCATTGGAACAAAACAAACAATGCCATAAATATGCATTACTTATAGCATATTGATTAACAATGTCTGTTCTCACAAAAATCATTTAAACAAGACTATATATCATAGCAGCCTCCAAACAGTGTCCTACAACTATAAACTATAATTTGTTGTATACAGCACAAGTGACAAAATGCACGAACAGCCTGTGGCCCTGGTGAAAGACTGTATTGCTCCAACAGATCAGCCATTGCTCATAGTTCACTGAAATGCTGTGTCTCCCATTGAGAGTAAACCCAGGCCCAGGTGCTCTGGGCAGCCTCTGCTGTCTGGAAGATCCGGTCAGTATCTTAATTGGATCTACCTGAGTAGGGTAGGTACTCTGGGAAAACCTAACCCTTTTAAAGGAAACATTCTTCTCTTGACTTCATAATTACCAACAGATATTCTTAACTAGATAAGTACTCTTTCTGCTGGGACACTTGAATGTAAGGGAAAGACCACTTGTAGAAACAAGACCGGGGGTTTGGTATCATTTTCCCTGTGTAGGTGCCTGGAATCAGACACAGGGGTTCTGTCCTATTTAGGTTAGCCCTGTCTCCACCGTGGTAGAGAATCACAGGCCTGGACCTTCAGTGGCTGCCATCCCCAGGACTCTCTTTGTTAACAGAGTCCCCTACAGGCTTGTTGTCAGTTGCACTTCCTTTGTTCCTGCCTTTTATCTCAGAGCCACTGACCTGATGCTGCTTTGGCTGAGATAAAATAATGCTCTCTGTAGATATTCACAGGGGTCTGAGTGGGAGGCTTGACATCACTCACAGTAACACGGAAAAAGATAAAAAGGTGGAGCTAGCAAACAGAAGCGCACACAAGCTGCAACTTTATTTGGAGCTGCTATAGTTGAACAACAAAGGAAACAGGTTGACTCATTTGGTTTCTATTGTACTGGAGTGATGGGGTTATTTTCGCATGTCCTAGCTATTCCTTCTAGAGTGTCAAATAGAAATGGATTGGTCCAAGTGAATACATTTGGCTCATAATATAGTTTGCATTTAAATCAAATTTATAGTTGCCCAAAATAGACTCTCCAACTGCGCACAAGTCATATAAGTAGCAGTCAGAATGAAAAGAGCGCTTTTTGCCTTTCATTCAAAAGCACAAAACTTGCTAAAGATACACTTTTCAATTGTTATCTGTCCTACTGAGACTATTGCAAAGATTCACTTTCTCCTCAATTACACTGAAACGATGCTCTTTCGTCTGCTGCTGTTTTAAACCCCTGTTATCTCTAAATGTGTTTCCCTATCATACTAAAAATTGTCAAGTAAAACACTAGGCTCAAAAGTTGGTTTTTTCTTTTTTCCTCTTTCATTCCTCCTTTTCCTTTTCTTTCTTTTTATGTGTTCACAGAGGTAGTCTAGCTTTATTCTTCCATAGAAATGGTGCTTAACTGGGGCGATTTTGCTCCCAGGGGACATTTAACACTGTTCATAGGCATTTTTGGTTGTCATAACTCTACGAGGGTTGCCACTGGCCACCGTGTTAGCGTCCTACATTGCACAGGACAGCCCCCACAACCAAGATTTATCCAGCCCAAATGTCAATAGGGTTGATATTGAAAAACTTTGTCTAGGAGAAACAAACAAGATTGATCAGGCTTAACTTTTACATGAGTTTTAGGCAAGGTGAATTGATATATTTTCACTGTATGATTCTGAATTTAGATAGGGGCATTAGTGTCCATGCAGGGCTTCTACAGATAGAGGTTTCCATGAAGTCATCAATGAATCATTAAAATTCTTATTTTTTAAATCCATCATTAGGTTTGAGCCATTTATCTCAAGGTCTGTGTCACTTTTTTATTTCATATTCCCCTCTTGTGCACTGCTGATATATCTCATTGAAAGGATTTTCCTATGATAGAAAAACAGAACTAAAATTCTTTGCAGTTTCATTTACCTGGCAAGGGTGATATCTGAAACAATTTTAAGTTTTTGAATGTTCTGAAAAGAATAAATTTTTATGATACTTGGATTCTATTGAGGTAAAGTGAGGAGATTGAAGTGAAACCTAATTATCTAGTTAATTTCATATATTTATACTTTCCCAGTCACCCTTGAGTTTCATTCTTACTTTTAGCATCTTTTACTTTTCATTCTTACTTTTTACAAGGGTTCTGAGAGGATATGTCTGTCTTTGAACTTTTTCCCATAATCAGATTCCCCTAACTACTGTGGACTGAATGTTTGTGTTTCCTTAAAATTCGCATGTTGAAACCCTACTCCCCAGTATGATGGTGTTTGCAAATGAAGCCTTTTGGAGGTAATTAGGCCATGAGGGTGGAGCCCTCATAATAGGATTAGTGCTAATCTAAGAAGAGTAGGAAGAGGGACTGGCCCAGTGGCATAGTGGTTAAGTTTACGCACTCTACTTTGACACCCCAGAGTTCGCAGGTTCGGATCCTGGGCAGGCCTATGCACCGCTCATCAGCCATGCTGTGGCAGCATCTCATATACAAAATAGAGGAAGATGGGCATCAATGTGAGCTCAGGGCCAATCTTTCTCACCGAAAAAAAATTAAATAAAGAAAGAAAATAAATAATAAAAATAAGGAGAGTAAGAAGAATCAGGGAGAGAATTTGCTTGCTCTCTCTCTCTCTCTTTCTGGAAGAGAGTTCCAAGAAGAGTTCCAGGAAGCAGGCTCTCACCAGGAACCAAATCTGTTGGCATCTTAATCTTGAACTTCCAGCCTCCAGAGCTATGAGAAATAAATTTCTGTCGTTTAAGCCACCCAGTCTATAATAGTTTTCTTATAGAATCTCGAACTGAGACATCTATAAAACATGGAAAAGTAGTACACACATTGACAGCTTAAAAAAACACTTGGTCCTGGCACAACGTGATCAAGGCCAAATGATGATATCCTTGTGTGTGGAATGACTGGGCCAGTCATTCCACAGATAAGAGAGGCACTAGAGAAAAATGTCTTGAGATAGCTGTATGCACATCTCGCATGAAGTCCTAGGTAAATAAACACTATACCTACACCTAGAACCTTTTCTCAGGTCTCCAGGATTAGCTTTACACATTAAATGAAAGTAGTTAAAAGTCATTTCTAAACCAGCTCAAACACAGGAAAATATGTGCTTCTTTCAGAGACCCCAACTAGACATCAAATGTTTAATATGATGTATTCCCAAATGTATTAACAGAAAGAAAAAATGTCAATGTTTAAAGCAGTGCTTCTCACGTTGAGATGACTATGCCTCCCAGGCGACGTATGACCACATCTGGGGACGTTTTGGGTTGTCACAGTTGGGACAGAGAGGTCTTGTTACTGGCAGCTAGAGGATAGGTGGCAGAGATACTGCTAAATTCTCAACAATGCACAGGACAGTCCCCACAAAAAGAAGCATCTAGCTTCATATATCAATAGTATTGAATTTGAAAAACCATGATTTTGAGGATGAACAAAAGATGAGTCCAGAAGTGTCCACGGTCTTTAATGCTGTCACCTCCAGAGTAAGAAACCATCAGGGAAACATGGTTCTAAGCTAACAACCTTTCTTTCTTTTTCTTTTTTTACTTTAAGGGAAAGAGGTTTTGGATTTAGTGTCTGAGATAATGAGAGCATATGTTTAGCAACATAGAA